TTTGGGGACCCAGACTCATACGGAGAGAAACTGGACTGTCTGGCATTGAGCCGGAACATGAGGGCGGCTTTCTCACAGAGGTGCTTGCAGCGGTCATTGTTCCTGCACAGGGTCAGTCGTGGGACACGGACCCCGGGACCTCTCTGAGGCAGAGCAGACCGGCAGCCATTTCGGTTTGCTCTGCCCTGGTGATTCCCTGAGACCCCGCCCCACCCAATTTACAACCTCCCCAAGCTATGTGCAGAGGCTTTTGCATATGAATGGCCTGGCCTTTCTCTGCCTAAAAACCTGGGCAGACTCAGTGAGCACCAAAGCCCCATTGAAGCAAGTCCTGCTCCATAAGGGTGTCTCCAGCAGAGAAGTTCTCCCATTGTAGACACAACTGGTCCTCACAGCCAATTGGCCTAGAGGTCAATTCCTCCCAGTGATACCAACAGCAATCAAGGCTTAACCACAACAAGACTGTGCACACAGCCCACAAAGGGGTGCACCAAGAGTGTCCACCTCAGGTAATTGGGGAGGCTGAGCCACTGGGCCCTATAGGACACCTAGCACACAAAGCCACTCTATCAACACAGAGAAGCAGCCAAAATGTGGAGACAAAGAAACAGGTCACAAATGACAGAAATAGAGGAAAGCAAACTACTGGATATAGAGTTCAAAACCATGGTTATAAGGTTACTCAGGAATCTTCTAGAAACCTCCGAGAAATATAGTGAGACCCTCAAGGCTATATATATGCATTTGGGAAGTTTTCATTGTAACCCAAACAGTAACTTGAAAAAGCTATGGATAGTATGATACAATTTAGGGAGAAGATGCTTAGCAAAAAGGCAAGAGTGTAGATGGTAAACAGTGGTTACTTCTAGGGGTGAGGAAAAGCATTGCAACAGAAGTCCCCTTAATAACTCCAAGCAACTTCAGAAGACCCTGCAAATCTACAAATGATCAGTCTGAAAGCACACAGCACAGGGCGTGGCTAACGGTAAGGACTAAATTAATGATAGCTATAATACCAATGATGACGACAATAATACGTGAATGAGAGTCTTTAGACAAAACCCACTCAGGCTCCTTGTCACTCTTCCCCTTTTGTGTTTCCCATTTCCCATTGCCTCATTTCGTCCTTAAAATTTCTTGTGCCCGGCCAGCATGGCTCAGTGGTTGAGCATTGACCTATGAACCAGGAGATCACGGTCCGATTTCCAGTCAGGGCACATGCCCAGGTTGTGGGCTCGATCCCCAGTATGGGCATGCAGGAGGCAGCCGATCAGTGATTATCTCATCATTGATGTTTCTATCTCTCTCTCTCCCTCGCCTTTCCTCTCTGAAATCAATAAAAGTATGTATATATTTATATTTTAAAATGTTCTCGTGAGTAAGGAGAAAGGGGATAGTTTATCCAACGAACCTGAAGATCCTGAGAAAGTTAAAGGACTAAAGAGAATGAAGAAGGGGAAAGGGAGGAGCACTCACCACCTTTGGAATCAAGGGCCCTTTGTGCGGCAGAGCTGGAGTCTCCAAGCTGCGGAGCCTCCCTCCATCCATCCGGGGAGATCAGGCATCAGGCAGAGGGGTCAGGAAGGGCTCTGGAGGTGGGCCTGGGAAAAGCTCTCCTTTCATTCTAATGCCCACAGCCCTCAGCCAGGGGCTCCCTCGTCTGTCCCACAGACTCCCTTCTAGCTGCCCCTACACACCACAAGCTCCGCCCTGCCTGTCTGCCCCTGATAAGGGAACAGAGCCAAGAGAGGCCTCCCTAAAAAAGTGAGGGAAACTCCAAATGCCACCGGGTGTCAGGGACCTTTGGCCCTCACACCCTTCCCCTCCCCAGCTAAGTGCATAGCGATTCCTTTTCATAAGTTTTGACCCTAAAGCACCCTTTCTGAAAAGCTTGCTCCCACTTACTTTCCAAATCTGAGTAAAATTAAAGATGGGTTTCAAAGACATCTACCAATTAGCCACCTTCTTTAACTCACTACCTTTATCTCCAGCTGCACCCTGACGCGTGCTTCCTGACAAGCAAACGTGCTTACTGTCTACCAACCTGTGATAAACCCTTTCCTGCCTGTCTTGACAACTTTCATAATATCCATAACTGTGTATTCATAACATCCATAATTGTATCCTTAACAATGAATTAAAAAACAAAACAAACGAAACGAAAACAGACTCATAGAAATAGAGACCAATGGCATGGTTACCAAAAGGGATGGTGTGGAGGGATGGACAAAAAAGGTGAAGGGGAATATAGTCAATAATATTGGGATAAATGCACACGTGACAAATGATTACTAGAATTAGTGGTGTGATCACATGGTAAGGTATAAAAATGTCACATCACTATATAGTACACCTGAAAGTAATATAAAGAATATAAAATTGTGTACAAACTATACTTAAATAAAAAAATAAATTTTAAAAATGGTTCTTTCTGGAAAGGGCAATGAAATTGATGGGAGGGGAGAGAGAAGAGAGAAACTTTCATCTTTACTCTTCATGGTTTTTACAAGAAGCACATATCACATAATATTTCAATAATAAAACATATATGGGGGAGACCCCAAAGCATTATATACTTTTACATGTTTTTGAACCTTATAAAAATGGAGCACATTACACCTAATTCTTCGTAATTTCCTTTTTTCAGTCAACATTCATTTCTGAGCCTAGCTGACACCTGTGGTGGCCCAAACCATGTCCCTCAACCCACTTGATTTTGGGGTAACTGAAACTTGCCAACAAGCTGCCAGCATGCCACCCCGAGGCCACAGCAGTTCTTTGCTCATCTCACTGGGGCTCTCTACAAAACTTGGGAAGGCTGTTTGACCTGTGTGCAGCTCAGGAGTTCAGGAAAGTTAATACCTCAGGGGATCAACCTTCGGGGACAGGAGATAGAGGAAAGCACTCCAGCCTCGCACCTCAGAGGGACAGTTTTGAGCTGTATTCTTCACGACTCTCGGAGAGTTCCCAGTGGGAATGAGCACAGTAGCCCACAGTCATCAGTAGCTCAGTAATGCACATTTTATTGGTTTTTCTTCCTTTTCTTCTCACCATTTCTGATTCCTGGGATCACTTCCTAAATATGGAAAGATTTTGTCTTTGTGGAGTGCAAATTAAGACACTGAAATTCATCCAGACTAATTCACAGAGCTTCACTACATTCATTCACCATTCACCGCTGTGTGGTAGACCATTGCCTGGATACACCAACAGATTGTCCATTCCCTTGATGATAAAAATGTGGTTGTTTCTGGTCTTTTGCTTTTACAAACAGTGCTGCTTTGAACATTCTTGATCCATGTTTCATGGTTCACATGTGCAAGAATTTCTCTGGGAGAAATGATGAGAGAGAATCATTGATAGGCTGCCTCCTGCACACCCCACACTGGGGATTGAGCCCAAAACCCAGGCATGTGCCCTGACCGGGAATCAAACCCTGACCTCCTGGTTCATAGGTCGACCCTCAACCACTGAGCTACACCAGCCTGGCTATGCTCTTTTTTAAATCTGATTTAAAAAGGCACTTAAGGTTTACCCTTTCAATCACTTTTATAGTCATACTGTTGTGCAACAGATCTCTAGGACTTTTTCATCTTGCAAAACTCCCTATCCATTGAACATCTTCCTTTTCCCCCCTCTCCCAGCCCCTGGCAATCACCATTCTACTTTCTAGCAGTTTGACTATTTTAGACATCTCATATAAATAGAATCAGGCGGTATTTGTCTATTTGTGAGGTTGTGCTCATTTTTAAGGCTTTAGATATGTAGCACTAAACTGATTTCCAACAAGTTGTGACAATTTACACTTTGAAATTGTGTGTCTAGACTACACCCTGTTTGCTTAGCATCCATCATTTGTTTCAAAAGAAACAAAAGTAATGGGCCTGAATATGTTTTCATTGTCTTACCTAGAATCCTGGCTGAAATTCTTGCGGGGGACACTTAACTAGCTGTGTGACCTTGGACAAGTCACTTAACTTCTCAGTGCCTTTGTTCCTCTATCTGTAAAATGGGGATAATACTCATATATTACTATACATGTACATTATTACACAAACTTATTATGAGAAATACATGAGTTAAGAAATGTGAAGCTCTAAGAACAGTGCCTGGAACATAAAAAGCCCAGAAGAGAGGTGGCTATTATTGTTGTTAGTTGTTTTTGTTGTTGCACTGAACAGGATTTCTGTTGTCAAAGCATTTACCAACCATTTTCTTCAATCCTTGATAATGTAATGAATGAAAAATGACAGCCAGCTTTTTTTTTTCTGGACTGCGGACGATTTCCTTTTTCAAAGCACTGTGGCAAACGGGATCTCACTTGATCTTCCTAATATTAAAACTCAGAAATCAAGAAGACAGCAATCACCATCCCCGCTTTTTGAATTAAGAAACTGAGACTCAACAAGTTACAATTCTAGTCCCAGGTTTCAGATCTCACCCTTCAAAGCCTAGCAGCTGTCCCACAAAATATTCCCGGGAAAAACTTTTGTTAAACCTCTGCCCCCTCCTCTTCTCCCCACGCCCCCCCGCCCCCCCCACCCCCCG